GGGGCAGATGGGGTTCACCGTGCCCGTTCACCTGCGGCAATGGAGCAGCTGGATTCTCCGGGTGGTACTGAACAATAAGGAAGAGCGAGGGATAACTTTCAGTTTCTCGGATCGAGCCTTTCTTGGGCGTTTGGTAGGGGTGGCTTTGTTACAAGTCAATCTATGAAGCATTTTTCTCATTCTGGCCATATTCTCCCAAGCCAGGGCTGTACTAGGAATTTTCTGGCTATTGTGTGGTTATGATGTGGAATTTTGCTCTGTATATAGTATAAAATTGTTGAAGATGTGACTGGGTGGCAAAAGGCTGAGAGATCCTCTGAGTTTTGCCACCTTTCGAAGTGATCCCTTTCACTTGGCTGCATGTAAAATAATGTTAACTTGGAGGAACTTTGCCTAAAGTACTGGTAGTGGGAGACTTAGAGGGACCTCGATGTAGGAATTGTGCCTGCAGTGGGACAAGGGTAATAAGGAAAAGTAAAGCAGTAACTGCTGCTGTGTGCACTTGCAAGCAAATGTGAGTGATGTGCCAAGCAAAACTGGGAGGATGAGACTGCTTGGAAAAGCTGGCAAATGTGGATACACGTTTATTGCTTTGGGGCAGTTGTAACTCATCCTTCACCTGCCGCCCTTTCCTGGTGCCGCAGGGAGCACATTCTCCCGGCTTCCCCCACTGCTGAACGGGCTCCAGCCGTGGATTTCAGCAGCCACCACCTCCTGTCCCCTCTGCAGCTCTGGCACAGGGTCACTTTGATCCCGGCCCCACTTCCCAGGGCAGTGGTCTTTGCTCTCCTGTCCCCTCTGCATCTCTGGCACAGGGTCGCTTTGATCCCGACCCTACTTCCCAGGGCAGTGGTCTTTGCTCAGTCTGAAAGCTTTAGAAAAAGCCTTTTGTAGTGGCTCCTTTCCATGACCCCAGGCAGCACCTAAAAGGGAGGGAAGGAAACAGGAGGCATCAGAGCAGAGGTCAGAGTTCCCAATTCATCCCCTTTAGGGGTTTCATCACCACCCGGTGACTAAAGCAATGAGGGAGGTGGGAGGGAAGTGTTCAATTTGAGCAGGCTGAAGTGGCAATAATGAACTCCACATGCATCTCCTCGCTGCCTGCGTGTCCCACCAGGCAGCCTTCCCTTCCCGCTCACCTGCTCGGTGCTGCTCCTGCACGGGGAGGCTGTGGTGTACAGTGGGTTTTGGTCAGGAATTCTGGGGGAATGCCTCTTGGGACCTTCCAAGAGATGTCCATGTGCTGTGGTGGTGAAGGGATGTTTGTTTGACCAAAGCCCTAGTGTAAATGTTAATACAATCATCTAGTCAATGAGTTCTGTCAGTTCTCTGTTTTCTGCTTGTATGCATTTGGCACTGTAGAAGACTTTAGGGAAAGGGAGTTCATTAATATTAAAATATGATAGTCGTAAAATGTCGATAATTGTTAAGCTTTCTGAAATAATGCTGCCCTAAAGACACTTGAAGTGGTTTTGGCACAGCTTGTGGGAAGGCTCTAAACCTTTTCAAGGAGATGCCTTTGCTTTATTCATGGCTCTTTGGCAGAAGACAGCATTTCTAACTCGGGGGGTGGGGTGGGCTTTTCCGTCTGCATGGATGTGATGCACAGCAGTGCTGAGGTGGGCTGAAAGGGACTCGCCACGGAGGTTTGCTTCCCTTGTCTCACTCGTTAATCAGCATGGACAGCCCTGCCTTAACGATAATGTCTTGAAGATGAGGCAAAAGAGAGTATAGGTTTATTTTTCTGCTCAAGCTTTACTGAAGATGCTTGTAGCTATCTGTCTTCCAAGGCAGAGACAGCTCTGCAGAGCCATAGGCATGTGCTGACGTTCCCCAGGTGAAGACAGCACCTGTGTAATCTTGCATCAGTACTGAGGTGACAGCCTCCAAGCGTGTGCTTTCTTGGTCTGAAATATTACTTCTTGCCCTCCATTTCCTGCCCTTCATACCTGGGTCATGCTCCCTGTGGTTTGCCGATAAATTAGTTGAGGAGAGCTGAGGTTGGATGTGGCAGGGGCAGATAAACCGGGACAAAGCCATCTGCTTTCCCCAGGCAAGCCGTGCCAGCGGTGTGCCAGGCTGGTCTTTATGCTCAGGGTGGCTTCAAAGTTCCCATTGACAGGAGTGGGAACAGGATCAGGCCTTCCAGGTCTCTGGAAGCTGCTCTCCATTCAAACCTCCCCCTTTGCACTTTGCTCTGGTAATGGCAGGTTTACGTTCTCTAAGCTGCCTTGTGATGGCAGGGTTCTTTCTTCGGGGTACCTTGGTGATGTCCACGCCTCTCCTGCTCCGGCAACCTGCTGATCTGCTAAGCCTGTGGCTCACAATTGCTTTTTAATTAAAATCCTCTGCTGATGTCAGAACTTCTCCCTTCCCTGTAGAGACCTGACACACTGTGCAGGACCCTGAGTCTCTAAAATGGGAAAAGCTGGAAATGATTCTCCTCGTGTTTTGGGTCTGGCTCTAATAAAACAACTAACGAGCAACTGGTGCATCGGAGGGGCTAATCACACATTTAACAGCAAATTTTGTTCTGCTGTTGACATGTTGCTAACGCGTGTGGGCTGCACAGCTGTGGGGAGGGATACCCTCAGCATTAGGAATGGGGAGCAGCTGATCCTCATTTTTAGTCCCCTCTTACTGAACTTGAATTGACTGTTGCCCATCAGTGTGAACTTCGGGTTCCAAAGGGTTTTCACATCTGAGGCAAGAATTTAAAGTATGAAAACACTTTTTTTTTCTGTTTATCCCCATTTTGTAACCTTGCCTCACTTCTCCCCCCACCTCAGTGTTGTGCAGCAGAAATTTCCACACAACCTGTTGCACCGGTTCCCGTTAAAGGCTTGAGCTGAAGAGTTGGGTCAGTTTTAGCTGGTCTGCTCACCCTCGCTCGGTGCATGTTCAAACGAGCCTTGTCCTCACCTCTCTGTACAGTGCGAGCTCCCTGAATGGGCATCGGGGATGCTTGGATGGTTTCAGATGCCCCTTGCTTTGGCCTTGTGGTTGCCTGTCTGCTATTTTCCTATCTATAGAGGAGTTAGTTAAAAGGTGTCCTTGTTCAGGACCATTTGCGTTGCATAATTGCCTGCAAATAACGTAGCACATGGCTGTTTCCTTTGCACTGGCATTCCTCAAGAGTTTGGGGCATCTGGAAAAATCACACGCTCTGTGGTGGCCCTGTCTTGTCTCAGCCCTTGCAGGGGCGCAGGAAGGAGATTGCCTGTCTTGAGATCATGTACCTGGTATAATGGTAAAGCCGGCTGCAGCTGGGACAGGGGTAGCTGTGCCTTTAAAAAGGAAGACTGCCTGCAGTAGAGTTCCCTGCTAGGCTGTTTGTAGGAGCAATTCAAGTGACAGGACAGTGGCTCCACAAAACAAGTGTTTTCCCAATTTTCAGGGCTGTTGGCAGGTTGGAGAGTGGGTCAGATTCATTTGTGCTTTAAATGGGAAAGAAAGAACAACCCCTAGTAGTTCAGGTCTTCATCTGATCCCACTCAGGAGGTGCTGTTAAAGCTGCAGAGCTGTTTTCTCTGGCAGCGTGTCCGTGGAGCTGACAAAGCCACCTGCGCCACAAAAGCAAGACAGGACAGCAACTGCAGCTTGGTCCCTGGCCAGCTGACAGCAGGGACTGTCCCTTTCTGGCTGTGCATTGCGGCATCGCCAGCAGAAGGAACTTGGCTGCTACTCTATTAAGCTTGAAAATGTGGCTGAAAGGCCTATCCTTGTGAAATGAATAGGCTGACAAGAAACGGGCTGCAGGGAGTTGGGCAGAACTGCCAGTCTGGGTGCATAGGAATGATGGAATGGTCCGGGTCAGGATCTCTGCGTGTCAGCAGGGATGTGAGTGACAGCCTCAAGAAAGGAGCTGTTGGCCCTGGAGCTTGGGCTACTCTCTCCATGGTGGTGCAGCTTCACTCTCTGCCTTCTCTGCATCTGGCAACCAGTTCCCTGTGTCTGGGTCCCTTTGCCAATGCTCAGTGCATGTGTGAAATACAGAAGGGATGCTTCTTAGAGCAGTCCAGACTCTATATTGGTGGGTTATGGAGGCTTTGAGCCCTTTCTTGTTCCTTTCTCCATCTGTGCTCTAAACTGATGCAAAGGCAACATTTATATATATATTTTTCCATTAGCAGGAAATCCATTACGCCCTATATTTTCTGAATTTCTGTGATACATGTCTTTGCGCCATGTTTTTCTGGCTACAGTTAAATGTTGTTTTCATGCTTTCCAACAGGGCCAGTACTGCGACATCTGCTCGTCCGCAAACAGCAACAAGGCCCACCCCATAACAAATGCCATTGACGGGACAGAGCGCTGGTGGCAGAGTCCCCCTCTCTCTCGGGGGCTGGAGTTCAACCAGGTCAATGTCACTTTGGACCTTGGACAGGTAACCCAAGTCCTTCTTGGTTATGTTGTAGACCATGCTGTGCTTCTGAAAGCCTTCAGTGGCTTGCCGTGAGGGTGGGATGACATCTGCTAATTTAATGATGGGGCAGGAGGCTCTGGTTAAAATGTGGAAGGGAAAACCTCTTGTCTATCTGTAGTATGAACTGCAGTCTGTGCTATTCGCTGTTACTCTTTAGGTTCTCCCTGAAAGTTTGATCACTTGCAAAAATCCACCACACTACAGAGGTGTCATTCACCTAAAGAGGGTACCCAAGAGGGTTAGCAAGGTATCACCCCAGAACATGAAAATACTGCCCTGAAGAATTTAAGGTTGTGGTGTAAAACTTGAACTGGTGTGCTTAAAACAAAAAACAGGGAGTTCTGCTGAGAGATATCCATTGTCATTCTTTGTCTTTTATAGGAATGTTTGGTCTCTAATGCTGGCAAGTCAAAAAGGGAATTAACATGGTAATAGCATGGCTGCCAGCCCCCACAGCCTCTGCTGCTGTTCCTATTCATCCCCACAGTCATTATTCTGGAAATGGGTTATTCTCTCAGATTTTCCTCAGTTTAGAGGAAAGAAGCAGCAAAGACATCCTGGCTGAAGCTGCAGAGGCAGGAAGGTGTTACAAACCAGAGATCTGATGGGCTGTGGGTCTGCTTTCTGGTGCGGGGCCATTGCTTTGCCTGTTGGATGGGGGAACTCCTCATTCCTTGGCCTGGGGCAACAGCCTTCCCTCCATGGTGCTGTGTAGCCTTATCTCTGCTCCCAGGACCTCTCAGGGGGTCTATCATGTGTGGAGGGTGATTTGGGGGAAGGCGTCAGTAGGGAAAAGAGGGATGAAGAGATGGAGTGTCACATGAAGACCTGTCCCTTTGGTAAAAAACTTGCTTTGAAGCTGTTCCCTTCAGTTTTTAAATAGACACAGCACATGGGGCTGGGAGAAGGGAATTGGAGCCTGTTCCCAGACAGATCCCTGCCCGAGGGTCTGACTTGAAGCTGCACCAAGGTGTTTGTTTGCAGAGAGCATGTGCTGCCTGGAGAGGGGCTCCTGGCCAGCAGTCCCGGCTCCCTGCTAGCAGCCATTAGTCCTACTTCGGGGCATTTGCTCTGCAGCCTCTTTATGTGAATTTAAGTGCTCGGTGCCCCATGAGCAGTAGGGGTGGGCTTTCACCTCCTCTGCTGCATTTCCCCAAGCTCTGCTACCAGCTGTGCCCCACCAAAGGGCCAAGTTTGAATCCTCCGTGGCTCGAAGGCAGTTATGTGGTGGTGGACAGCTCACCTCTCCCATAGGGAACGTGGCTGCTGTGATTGCTTGGGCTTCCTTTTGGGGGTGAATGCGCTGCCCCTTTATTTGGGAGTTTGTACTGACTGTGGGGATTTTGAGCTTTGTCTGGCACTTAAGCTTGGCACACTGACCTTGCAGGTGGCTTTTTCACTCTCCAGGATGGAGTGAAGGCTTGTCAACTCTTTATAAGGAGTCTGACTCCAAATTTACAGCCATGGATACCTGGGATGTATTGATGATGATACCCTTCTGTTAGATGCCTCAAACAGGACTCACTTGGAGCCTCTCAAACACCCTCCACAAATTTGTTCTCTCCCATGAGTGCCATCCATCTAAAGCTGTGGGATACACAGCCCTGGAAAAATATCTCCTAAGGCCTGGGTGCATCATGCATTGTGTAATAGCTGTGTGGGCAGAGCCTCCCGGGGCTACGCGCAGCGTGCTGATCCCGGTAGCCAGCGTAGGTGGCATCCATGGTGTCTCAAACCGCCCAGCTGGCAGGGGGTGCTGGGGGTGGATTGCTTGTGCGAGGGCCAGCCTGCTTGCTGCTCCTCTGGAAAGGGATTTTCAAAGACCAAATTTCCTTGGGAGCTTCTCCTCCTCTTTGTCATCCTCTGTGGCAAGTTTCTGGCTTCAGGCCAGAGCTAACCTCGCCGTGCTGTGCACCGGCAAGCTGCTGCTTTTGGCTCATCTGGGGATTTGCATCCTTCAGAGCTGCAGTGCTGGGAGCCAGAGCCTGGAATAACTGGGGGCGGGGGTACGACACTGCAATACTACTAAAACCGAGTGGGTGTAAATTTATCTTGTCCTGCCTTTTCCTCCTAAGCCTCAGTGCTTGCTCTTGGTACCCTGGCAGGTGAGACTGCACCTCTGCAAGGTTGGTGGCAGGACGTGCAGGCATGGGGCTGGTTGTGCAGTTGCCTCTCCTGGTGTGGAGTGTATCTGGAATTCCAGATCCCTCTGCTTCCCTCCTGCCTTTGCAAAGTAAGCGGGTGCCCAGCTGGTCTCCATAGGAGCACAGACCTAAAGCTTCAGCCCATCTTTAGTGGCTTTCTCTTTATACACGCTGTTACTGTGTGTAATTGCTGTAATAACCTGTTTATGCTCCTGGCCAGGGTCTGCTCTTTGCTTTTCCCTCCTTTGTTGGTGGGGCAATAGAAAGGATGAAATGTTACAGAATCACTAATTTCCTCCTTTTGAAGTTGAGGCAGGTTGAAAGGGTGGAAGATAAAAAGAGGGACTCTTGGGACCCAGTGGGATCCGCAGGGTGAGTGCGGGATCAGGCCAGTGTACCTGGCAGCAAGGCTTTGCAAATTCCTTGGATACCTGTGAAAGCGCAGGTAACACCCTCAAAGGCATGTCTGAGAGCAGGGCTTTTTTTGGCTGGCGAACAAGGTGTCTCCATGTAACCCTCTAGGGAGCTCTTGGGTCAATTAAGATTTAATTTAAAGGCCACTAAAAGCTTTGGTCGCCTTGGGGGATGATGAGTGCCTGGAGTGTGCTGAAGGCTCAGTGCTTTGGTGGGGGCTGGCACAGGAGGTTTTGGTGTCAGCCCCCTCCCTTCCATTCGATGCTTCTCTGTTGTCTTTGTCCCTGTGCTTAATTACCAGCTGGAATCAGGTTTCTCCAGCATTTGGCAAGGCTGTGGCAACTGGGAGAGGGGCAGTTAATTAAGCACCCTGTTGGTCTTTGCTATTGCTGGCTGGGAGCTTGCTCTCCTCATAGGGATGTTAAAATCCTATGGGAAGGGGAGGGAGGAATATCATTCACAGCCAACAAATAAGTTAAAAACCCGTCTCAGGCTGGCCACCCAGCTGGTGTGAGTATATTAAACACTTGTATCATGTCATCTTAGTGCCAGCAGTGGCCTAATCTTAACGACTTCATCGTCAGGGCAGATCAGAGCTCCCACCACAGCATGGGAAGAGATTGTGCCTGATTATCAGTTGTGGGGGGGTTGGATCTGAATCGTTCCCACTGGTGCTGTGTCTGTTCTGCTTCCTTGGGGAGGGTTAGTTGTTCTTGTCGGAAATGGGGGGGGAAGCTGGGAGGGGAGGAAAAGTTGCTGAGAGTTCCCATGTCAGACACAAGTCTGGGAGCCAGAAATATGGGAAGGGGCTTCAAGGAGGGAAGTTAGGTGGGTTTTAGGAACTGCTGGGGTGGGGAGTATGAAGAGGGAGTGTGGTTTTTCTTACTAAAGCTTTAAGCACAGTCATAATTAAAAGCAAGCATGTTTAGGATGAATAACTGGGCCACTCCATAGGTTTGATGCAAAATTAAACGTCACAGCACTGGGATGAAGCACGGGTGGAAGAGTTGGAGGGTGCCGCGCTCTGGGAGGACACTGAGTGGTGGCATTGCTGGACAATCTGGACTTGTCCCTGACACTGTTCTGCCTGGCTTGGAGGGCAAAGTCCTGTGTTGTGACAGAGGGTCCTAAGCGTGCCCTGCTGCAGCTTAGCTCTGAGCTCTTCCTCTCCTGCACAGAGCCTTCGGACCAGCTGGAAATGGGAAAGTGCTGCAGAGGGGCTGTGCAGGGGCCAGAGGGACAGGAGACCATGACTCGCTGCCCCCATGGGAATTGTCCCCTGTGATCCTGCTGTGATTAAGTGCCACAGTGGGTGGAGGAGAGGAAAGGGTGTGATGGAAGAGTCTTTATTTTTTTTTTGTTCCCCCAAGAAGGTCGTTTGAGTCAGAGCTGACACAAATCAGGAGGTTTAAAGAAACATGAATGGCTGGCTTCCTGCCAGGTCCTGACATCTTCCTTGCATGAAGGTGAACCCAGGCCAGCCCTTCCCAGAGATGTTTATGGATAGGTGTTGCTTTATGATAAACTCGGTGGAGAGGAATGCTTGCAGTCATGCAAGAGCAGGAGCTTCGTGCCAGTGCTTGCTTGAGGTTAATTACTGCAGTGCGAAGGTGGCTGGATAGCATCCCCTGTCTCTTTTTCCCCCCCCATCCCCAGAGTCTGCTGGCCTCCGTGACACTAGAGAACAGCAGAATTTCAGGCTGAAGCTTTGCAGGGAGTTTTGATTTACACCCCAAAGGTATTTAATTTGGCAGTGCTGCACGGAGGGCACGCAGCCTCCCCTACGCAACGGTCACTGGCAAGAGACATCGGTGTCCGTTCACCTCTGCCATGGAGGGGAGAAGAGAAACTACCTCCCTTGGAGAGCTCCAGGCTGTTACTGCTTAAAATGCAGCTCCCTTAAGGGCTAAAAAGGGGGG